AACCCAAAAAAAAACCCCCAACCAAAAAATATGGTCCCCCCCCCCCCCCCCCCCCCCCCCTTCCCCCCTCCAAGGAACGTAAAGAGCGCTCACATGTCGGTGGTGTCTCTCTACTGTGCATGTAGGAATACGTTCGAACGAAGCGTGCTCTCCATCTTGGAAAGGGGTGGATGGCCAGAGGTCAAGTGACGCTGCTAGGTTGCGTAAGACAACAAAAATGAACACGCTCCCCCCCCCGACACGTATGTATGTCTGAACGGCTCGAAACTTTCGTCAGGTCAGTGGGGCGGAGCAGCACCCTGTTCGAGTCCTCGCAAAGCTCAAGGAGATAATGATGTAAAAAGTGCTACTTCTACATATCAGCGGGGGCGTCGACGAGAGAAGAGGATCATTTTTTTTTTTTCTCTTTTGGAGAGACCGGAATGGAGAGAGAGGGGGTAGCGAAGCTGAGCTGAACGCGGCACGACTTGTGACTATTTCTTGACCAGGACAAAGTCGTTTGGGGTGGTGGCGGTGGGGGGGATAGGGTGTAGGTCGAGGGCTTTGTTTTGTGTGTGTAAATTAATTTACGTATTCTGTTGCGGCACGCCATTTATTTCGCCCAGCTTCGGTATGAGCTTCCTTTCCGCTCCCATATCTCTTGGTGCGGGTGATGGGAGCTGTGTGGTATGTATGCCCGCTAGTTGTCCATCGGAACGCGGACTGTACCCCAACAACAAGTGCAGTCGGGCTGGTTGTTCTTGCCCCTGGCCTGACAACGCGAACGGCCAAAACTAACCACAGGGTTTGTTGTCCCAGTGCGCCCTCGCTTTCCTAGATCAGCTGCAGCACGGCCCGCTATCCAGGAAACCCAGTCCGGGTCAAGGCTCAATACAGTCGCCACCCGTCGAGCATAAACCTCTTTGTGATATACTGAGCTGTGCTTCTTGACCCAAACGTCTTGTTGTCGGGGGAGTGTATTTTTCGTACACAGATTTTTTGTTGTAATTTTAATCTTTTTTATTAAATTTTATCTACGAACGAAAGTGGACCTCCTTCTGCATGCCGGACGTGCAGCCCCGTCTCCCATCTTTGTTGAACCGCCGCCCCATAAGAAGGGTATGAGAATTTGCCCTGGCGCATCAAAGCGTCTGTCTCTCGTGTCAAATCAATCAATATATCTTGCAAACTAGGAAAATGTATGTACATGGAATGCTACAGCTAAGCACCACCCACCCGCGATCCAGGGACGTCGCCATCGGGCGGGGGGGCCGCCCGTACCACCCATCCCATGCTTCTACTCGTCCGTACCACGGTACGGTGTTCTCTAACGCCCGGTGTGGCATTCTCTCTCAGCGATCTGCAAACTACGGGCACGCGCGCGATCCGCAAAAAAATAATCATGACGGGACCTACCGATTGGACTCAGAGCACATCAAGTCAGCCTATAGCGTACCCTCTTCAGGCCCGCTTGGCCGGCCTTCACGCTCGAGGTGCTTGCCTCTGCCACCGACGCACACAGCTTCTCAAAGCCCCCTCCCCTTATGATGCAACTAAAACAACCCCGTCAGAAAGAGTACTCGACAGACACTCTGGCATCTACCGGTAGAGACACGATGGGTCACTTGTCGTCTTCCTTCAAAATCTCCGCCAACCAAAACGCCGTGGTCTTATCCTTGTTCGGCACCCTCCCGCCTGCCGCCGACACGCGACTGGTGGTGGTGTCTTGCGCTCCCCCCCGCACAGCCGGAAACGGCAGCAGCAGCAGCAGCATCGTAGCCGTCCGTCGAACACACACCACACGCACTACTTACTGTGTGCTTACCCCGAGAGAATTGAGTACGAAGACTTTGCACCTGGAATCCAATCCAAGCTCTGTTCCGAGATGGAGCTACAGCAGTGGTTCGTACAAGTTATCTCCGGTTCTCTCCGGGCCGTACCCACCGCTGTGCAAAAACGTCGCGATCATCCGGTACGACTATGCCTTCTCGAAACTCTCGGGCCGTCTCCACCGCTGTGCAACAACGTCGCGGTCATCCGGCACAACAACGCCTACTCGAAACTCTCCTGTTTCTCTCTCTCCGTGCCCTCACCACCGCTGCAACAGCGTCGTGATCATCCGGAACCCGTCCAGCAACCCGGCCTGCTTGTCCCCCTCCCCCGTCGGGTTGACCGCCGTGTACAGCTGCCGCCAGGCCATCAGCGCCGCCAACGTGAAGATCATCGACGTCACCGCGAAGGGGACCGGGGGAACCTCCCCCCCCTTCGACAGGGCCCGCAGGAAAATGCCCACCGGGATGGAAATCCCCCACGCCGGCAGGAGCGCCTTCGCCGCGCCCCCGGGCGTCTCCGTCGCCGACCTCGTGTATGCCCCCAGGAGGGGCGAAACCGCCAACCAGCCTGTCGTGGTACATGTCATCGCGATAGATGGTGGATGGAATTTGGGTTGGGGGGGGGGGGGGGTAGTCATATTTTGTCCGTGTTGATTGTGCATCCGTTTTTGTTTTTGTCAAACGGGAGAAGGAGGAGGTGGGGGGTGGAATTTGGGTTGGGGGGGGGGGGGCCCGGGGAAAGGCCAAACCCCTTGTTTTGGAGGGGTTTTT